GCATTTCAGTCTGATTGACTGAAATGATCAGACTGGTCAAGGTGGTCCAAAATATTCCGGTTGGGCTGATCTGAGATGGTCCCGTTCCATTTGATTTCTAACCGAAATGTCCGGAATTTTGGGCTGAGTGGGAAGCGCCCAGGGTTTTCAGTAGCATTTGTTAGTACCAGATGCAGAGGTTCAGATGGCAGACTTGCACCACTTGTACTCCAGGCTAAAATGTTGAGTGTCAGAGGCACTAAATTCTAAGGGGGCTGGGGGCATTCTCTGAAATGCAATATTTGATTTGGCAGGTACAATTATCGTTTTGCAGTTCTGGTGGAACTACTCGACATTACATGTCAAACAACAGAACGTTGTTCACTGTGTACCATGCTAGGAAACAATGACAATTTTATTAAAAAATGTCATCGTACCACATAAAAATGCTGTCCCAGAAGTTTTAATATAGTCCCAACATAGTACAATAACCCAAAAAATAGACAGCCCAGCAAGGTGCTAGTTACTTCGTCTAATGATTATTATACTTTTCTTACTTAAAGTACATAGAGGATATTACACGGTGGCGCGAAGATATGAATTTTATTTTCGAGCGGCAAAACAATATTTTACGAACGAGCGCAGCGAGTGAGTAAAATATTGTTTTTGCCACGAGAAAATAAAATTCATATCTTCAAGCCGCCGTGTAATGTTCTTTTTATTATATAGACAAAAAGACATCGATAAAATAATAGATTTTTATTCGCCAAAAAGTAATTGTGATCTAGAGAAATAACACTGAGCTGAATAGGGCTCTACAATGACAAAATATAAGCAAAGCTTTGAAAAATGTGTAAGTAAAATTCAAAAAATGATAAGTAATAAAAAGCTTTGAATTATAGTTAAATCATAACAGTAATAATTTACCGAATCTTAGTCATAAGGCGGCAAAAATTTTTCAATAGATGTGTACGAAATGTGAAAAAATGCATGATAAAAAGGCCAAAGAAAGGTTTATTGGCTTTCATCGCTACTATCAATAACAATTCTCCGTCTTTTAAACTGATGTGTTTTCTCAAGATCGCTGCCTTTTGGATTCTGCGAATTTGTGAAAATGTTCAGTGTTCCTACCTGACACTCGTAAAGAAAGGGCAAAGTTCCTGCACTTGTGCTGGGTTGAACTGTAGATACGGATGTAATTTCATCTACTGTTACTTTTGGCGAAGACGAAGTAGCAACAGAAGTAGAAGATTCCCCTCTCCTGGATAATACTGTAGAGATGTGCTGCTGTCTTCTGTCAGATATAGCGGAGTAGTTATTCAGTGAATTGACGTTTTTGTGTCCAGTTATTTGCACAATTTCGTTCGGTGGAATATTATTATCCACAAGTTTCTGGACTAGATGCTTTCTTGTGCTGTGGTTGACCAATTTCTTGTCTGAATGAACTTGGGAGCCCGCTAACATGTTTTTCACCATAGATCTAAGTGAATTTACTCCCAGTGGAGCTGCCTTGAACCATTTCTTCCCTGCCTTCGGAACTTCTGTGTTAAGATAAGCAAGATAAAACGGAGAGTCGTCTGCCATAATTTCTGGTGGTCTATGTTGCTTATAGGCCAAATAGGCAGTGACAGGACAGCGATCATTATTGTCAAGGTTTTCGAACATCTTTGGCTTGCTTTCTCTGACATTTCTTGTGTTTTCACCAGTTCTCGTTTTTGTTTGGCGCTCGGTGGAAAACTTCACGTAACGAAGCCCGTCAGCATTAGTTTTCAGCTCCAAATCTCCCCAGCAAAGATCTCGTTGCTCTTGTCCAGGCCTCGTGCCGAAATAGATACAATTGTTCATCCAAACTGTATTCAGAAGTGCTCGTGGTGTTTTATTTCCGAGCATTCCTGCCCGGTAGAATTCCTCTATTTCTTCATCTGTTATTGCATCGGCACTATTGGGCTTGTTTCCCTTTCCTATGGCCTTAAGTTGTTTCTGCTTCTTTTTCAGGATATCTTGAACCTCACCGAATTCTTTGTCGTTCAAAAGGGAAAATGTGCATCCTTTTTTACGGAGGTAGCGGTCAACACTTTGCAAAAACCCTCTTAGAGAAGATGGTTCATATTCCTCGCCATTTTTCTTTCTTACTCCGAGTACAAACTTCTTTGCCAACTGTTGGAGCTCCGCGGCTGGAATATTTTCTATGTTTCTCTCTTCTTCCTCGCTGTTAAAAAACTCGTTAAATAATTTTAGATCCGACACAGTTTTCTTCTTCGTATTGGCATTTTCTTGGTCTTCGGTAAACGATGCAATATTCCTCTTCAGTAAACTTGACGAATCTTTTGCTCGCCATTTTCATTCAGGGGAATGTTTGGCAGCGTTTGCAAGACGCCTACAAATTTCGGAGGGAAATTACCGAAATTACGTCATCGATAAACTCACGTGTGAGATTATGGAAAATAAACCACTCGGGTCCCGGATGTAGTTTTTATGAATTTTACGAGTGGCATATTTTCCAGTAAAACACTCGTGTCTATATAATAAAATATGATAATCATATATGGAGTACCTACCCCCAAGGTCCTCTGGTGTTGTTTGTGTGTTTTTTTCATTATTTATTTATTTGTTTTATTCTTTTTTCCTTTGGTGTCTTGTGGTATTTACCAGGTTTTAATACTATACTGTATACGGGGTCGTGAAGTAATCAGTTCAATGTAAATGCTGTATGTCAAAATCAACAAGCTAGTTATATTCTGTACATACGTTTTTCCAGGATGGTTTTACACCTATTGATGTTGCAAAACAACAAGGGCATGAGAAAGTTGTTGCTATTCTACTTCATCATGACTCCTGGGTAAGTCATTTAGCTGTTCTTTGCAGCCTAACTCTTGTTCTTGCTACTCCCTAGTTGGAAGTGGTAACTCCACTGTCTACGAAACAGCATGAACAGACAGCTGTTCACACACAGGCTTCAAACTTTGATAAAATCATTAAAACATAAGAAAATAACATTGGTTCAGTTTTGTTTCTGTTTGTTTGCATATGTCGTTATTTTTAGGAGGTTGGTGCATTGACAGATCTGGACAAATTGTACTTGGCAATGGCTGAAGTTAAAAAAGAACACCATTTCAATACCCTTTGCTTTGGGCTAGGAATCAACAGTTTAAAAGCCTTAGAGAATTACAGTATTGGATCAGACGAAGCCCAGAGTCGCATTATAACACCTACTGATCTAGCTGATTTAAGAGAAGAACTCAGTAACAGGCAATTCAACTTTCATCATCTTGCTCAGGTACATATATACACTGGACACTGTAGACGTGTAATATTATTTTTGCATTTGTTTTAACTAACACTTTAGTGCAGAGAAGAGTGCCTGACCATGCCTGCCCATGTTGTATTGGATTTCTAACAACTTAGTAGCGTTAACCCAGGCGACAGTTTTCGTTCACCAATCCGCAGAAGTACATGTAGACATGTCCACGATCACTCCTTCATGCCGATTTCCACCTTTTATACTACTCAGACTGTCCTTTTAACCTAGTATTATATCCACTGTTCATGTACACATTGAAATTCAGTGGAACTCCCTGCCTTTGGATGTCTTCACTCTCTCTACTGATCCGCTGCAATTCCTTAACAACGTGTCTAAAATCACCCAACAACTAGTTCTTTAAGTTTTTCTTTTTGTCTTCTGTTATTTTTGTTGTTATTTGTTATTATTTTTGATGACCACACAAGCTGATAATCCTCAATTGTACGAGGGGTTGCTGTGTTGGTTAATGATGATAATAACATCTGTCTAGCTTTTCCTGTAATAAGGTGTAAGAGTTACTGAGGTGTTTATCATGCCTACCGTTTTCTAGTGTGTCTCACTGAGCGGTAATAACTAAAAATAATGTATGAAATCATCAGTGTTGTTGTTAAGACCTTACTCTTTATACTGTTGCTGTTTAGAAATACAAACGTGGCAACGTTCTTGAGACTTGTAGAGTGAAAGGGATTCCTGTGATCGAAAAACAAGACGTTTCTGTGACCAAAGCTTTAAATGTGGGACCTTACGCTGGATTTCTATTCAAAGCTCAATGGACAAGGCCGGATGGAGTTCAGGTTTGTGCTATTGTGGAATGGGTTGGCGTAGTGAAGGTTAAGCGTGTATCTGGGCCGAGTTACCAGGAGTTTTAGCATCGACAAGGGCGACAGGGCAGCGAAACTTTGTCGCCTTGGTTTTAGTTCAATTTTATGGTAACTTAAACTGATGTTAATAAGCCTGAGATTATGCCCTATGAATACACACATGTTGAGATACTAGCAACAATCATGCTCTTTTGTTACACAATGTTCAACATTTGAATAAGCTTTTTTACTAAGTAACTGTAGATATTAGTCCAAAGTACAAGAACAAACAATGAACGGTAACTAGTTCGATTACAGTGCATCCTTCTCCTTTAGCAAAGTCTATTGTAACTTAGCATGATATATTTCCTTGACTCCACAAAGGTTCCATTCATATTATCACATGCTCATCATGCACATGTGCTCCTCTTTATGCCGTACACTGTCCTTTCCCAGCCAGTTCCCTTAGGGCTTCGGTTCATTCACAAAAGTGTTTTTTCGCCTGGGTCTGCTTCCACACAAGTCCTTTCGCTTTGATCGACTCCCATATCTCAGTTCACCATGCCAAGGCAAAGGAGGAAAACAAACCATCGCAATGCTGTATTGGATGGCGCCAGCGCAACAGCAGAAATACCTGATTACAGCGCCATGTCCACGGAAGCCCTTAGCCTCTTGCTGAGAGAACGTCATCTCCAGCAAACCGGCAATCGCCGCGAACTCATCTCACGGCAGAATGCTCAGCAAAGACTGCCCGCCCCACAGGCAGAAAGTGTCCCGACGAACTCCAGTGTCGCTGATGGCGTTCCACACGCAACATTAGAGACCTCACGATACGACAATGACGACGTAAAAAAATGCCAAAAGTAAGAGACACTTTTTTTGTATCTTATGCCTTCAATTTGATCGATGCTTCAGAATGCTTGATTTTATATGACGCTAATTCTCCCAAAAATCCCGATATTCCATATTGGAGCTAAGAACGAGTCAATCTAGACCTAATGACAGATGATGAATGCAAGACCAAGTTCAGGTTTTACAAAAACGATATATGAGAACTCTGCAAAATTGTGAATCTTCCAGACCGGATTGTTTGCTACAACGGCATCAACTCGGACAGAACAGAAGCATTTTGTATATTTCTCAAGCGGTTTGCCTACCCTTGCAGGTATGTGGATTTGATACCAAGATTCGCGAGGCCTGAGCCTCAACTTTGCATGATCTCAAACGCTGTGTTGAATTGAATTTACACTAATTGGAGACATCTGCTATTGGATTTGGGCCAGCCATGGCTTAGTCGACCACATTTGCAAATGTTCGCAGACGTTATCAAAGAAAAGGGAGCAGCTCTCCAAAACTGTTGGGGATTTATCGTCGGAACTGTAAGACCTACCTCTCGACCTGGTAGAAATCAACATGTCATGCACAACGGACATAAGAAAGTACACACTATAAAATTTCAATCTATTGCAACACCAAACGGCCTTATTGCTAACCTTTATGGGCCTGTGGATGGGAAAAGGCATGACAGCGCAATGTTGGCGCAATCGCAAGTGTTGAACCAAGTTCAACGTCTTTCGTTCAACCCTCACGGGGACATCTTATGTTTATATGGTGACCCAGCATATCCCCTCAGTCCGCACCTTCGGAGTCCATTTCGCGGTGCCAGGCTAACCGACGACCAGAGAGCGTGGAAGAAATCAATAAGCGAAGTGTGGGTTTCCGTGGAATGGATTTTTGGCGATGTCATAAATTATTTCAAATTCTTAGATTTTAAGAAGAATTTAAAGACATGTTCAAGTGCCATTAGCAAAATGTACATTTCATGTGCTCTAATGCAAAATGCCCAGGCATGTATATATGGCTCAACAACTTCAGAGTTTTTCCAGATCTCTCCCCCAACTATCCAAGAGTATTTTCAGTGACTGATAAAGAAGACGTTACTTGAATAGTTTATTTTATTTTAACAATTTTGTAGGTGTAGAAAACATATGAGAACAACTTTTAAGGTTTTCTAAACTCTGCGTGTCCTCTAAATTTCCAAAACTTCCAACTGTACTTTTTAGTGGGTATTTCAAATGATCACATAACTTTACTGTCTGAAGATGCGAATAAAAAAACATTTAAGATAAAGAACGCATCGTCTTTCAACGGGAACAACGTTTACAGAACTAAACTAGATAGTTCTATTTCTCCAGACACTTTTGGAGCAAGGACATAAGAGACTGGGTTTGCTGCTGTTGCTGTTGCTTTAAGAGCGAATGCACAGAAAAATCGAGCAAACCGTGGTCACAGCTCAAAACCTAAACTACCCTCATTTTAAGTCTGTAATAAGGTTTTAATGAGTTTATAACACTGCTGTGGTTTAAATTTCAAAATGCGGCCGAATTTGGGAATTATTTGAGATTTTCGATTTCAACGGTCTGCGGGCCTAAAATTAGCCGCCGAACACGGCAATATAGCCTAGCGACAGAGATGAGCTGACTTTCATAAACGAGCGAATATATTGGCAATCTTCCACTTAAATCTCAAAAAACAGATATTAACAATTTCTAAACAGCACATTTTCTTAGATTTAGAGAATAAAATATCGACGAACGATTTACCGCTAAAACCAAAATCGAATTTTCTATATGGGGGAATTCTCCAAATCACCCCAAATCCCGCTCACTTCACAATGAGATATAGTACTTCAACACTATCTGAAAGTTAGTCTGGTGTTCTTGCGAACGCTTGTAAAATAGATTGATTATTTTGAGGTTATTTTGCCCCAAACAACCTCTAATTGACCCCAGGGTCAGTTGACACGTGCACGTCACCTTAGTTTTATGCATCGATTTGAGCTCTTTAAAAGGGAGAAACTAACAAGATTCTTTTAATATGTACCTGTTTTAATGAAATACACGCAATCTTCAAAAGGAGAGGCCGTTCAATGGGTAATTTCTGTTCTTGAGATCTTGTAGATTGCAGCATGGCGTCTGCGAGTGGACCTGAGTCTATGTCTGTTTTCCCGTGACTGGGAAATCAGAATAACATCATGAAATAATTCTCGCTCGAACCTTCGTAAATGAATCAGCTTTGCAGTGCCTTACCTGAGATAAAAAGTGGGCCGAATAGGAAAACATTCTAGCGCAATTTGGATCCTTTGCAGCACGTAGTGTATTTGCTAAGCGGCGATGGTATCGATGACTTTTAATTAGTTACTCACTTCCGATTGCGTGACCAGGCAATTTTCGATTGCCTCCTGCGAAAAATAAGTGCACGGGAAACCAAAGCTTTCGGGATACAGTAAATTCATTTTCCTGTATGACCAGGTGTCCTTTTGTCGTATTTTAAAAGCGGTTAACTAAGATGATTAGCAAACATACTGTCCCACTTTTAAAAATGGTACAGTAACTGAATGTTCTGTTCTTCTGATTTTACCCCCAACCCCGGAGTGTTCAGAAGATATATTTGCACTACGCATGAGAGGCAAATGGATTAAATTTTAAGGTTCAAGGCGGTTTTAAGGCATGGGTTACCAGTGGATTAGTCAGACTTGTCATAAGGTGCATTGAACAGAAAATTACAGGCATGATATCTCTGCTATTGTATGTCCATTAAGTGATTTTCCACCAAACATTATTTTTTGACTTTTTTACCCCAAAAGTTTTTTCCGTTCAGTTCTTATCTATGAGATCTAAACTTAGTTAAATTTCTGTAATTTGTTGTTAAATGCAATTCTGCAAACAACTAAGTATTTAATTTTGCGTAAAAGCTACATGAAATTGTACTGTTTAGCCGTAAATCATTAAAAAGAGAAAGCATCATGCTTTCTCTTTTCAAGTCTATTAGGACTTAATTAAGCAATGGCACTGCTTAAGTCCTAGTAGTTGTTCTCCATGTCTGCTAAGGAGGAAATAGTTTGCTCTTTTCAAGAAATTGTTCTTGCCCTTTGCAGTTTCAAACCAAGGATTGCAGCAAGTCTGTCGAGGTCATATACTGCTACTTCGGTGCAAATGAAGCATAGGCCCACAAGTCAGCGCTTGCGTTTAGTCAGGTGCCGAAAATGAAGTGGAAACGTAACCCCAAGGGCGTCCATGTTCGCTCCGGCTCGAAAAGGTAGAATCAGTTGTGCAGTAAAAAGTAATGCGAAAAACCTGCGGGGGCTGGGGAAAGAAAGGCGTCTTATTTTTCTTTGGCTTGTTTCTATTTTCGCGACGTGGTACAGGCTACGAAATACTGACAAGCTCAGTATATGTCTTCACCACCGAGAGTCACTTGCCCTGAGCCGGACACGCCCTCACGTATCCTGTTTCGTTCCTAAAGTTATTTCAAAGCACAGAACCAAACCTAATCAGCGGCGGAAGGCAGAAAGGGGGACGAGCAAACGGATGTCACAGCATATTTTGCAAGAAACTGGTATCCTTGTGCCTATCGGCTCAGGAACGATTGATTACTACTAGAATTAATATCAGGGTCAGAATTTGAGTGCTACAATGGGAGGGAAGGAAGAAAAGGAAACCGCCGCGCACACCTGTTAAGTCTTTTATAAACTTTCTCGTCCTGACGGTTTCAAAGAAGGGCGTTGTGGCTGTTATTTAATTTACAGTGTCTGTTGCAGGTGTCGAATTAGTTACAGCAACTGGAAACGTGGCCACGCCTGCTGAAACTGAGTTTGCTTGTAGGATGAACGACTATAGTTTGGTATACTCACGAGCGCGTTTTGTCCAGTGAACTGAGTGTGTAGTTTTTCTTAACGAAGGGATGGGGTGGGTCAAGTGAGTAGTTCGGGGAAAGTTTGCTCTCTTTAGCGGGGCGGGGGTTATATATTTGTATATTTGTTGATAACAGGAGTTCTGGCCTGGATAGCGTCGTTGTAAAGCTATTTTTGCTTCGGAGTATCGGTTTACCGGAAGCTGAGCTAGGAAAAGTCAATGGTGCATTTATGGAATAATAATAGAGATTCTCATGGTCTAACAGTGCGAAGATTAGACTTCTGGTAAGGTGGCAACGATCAAGGCCCGCATTATAATTCATGATAACAGTGAAGGTCATGATGTGGAAAAAGCGACTGAAATGGTGGATGCCATGCAATCCTCTCGGGAGGGGGCGGCGTACCTGGCCTTAACGGTTGCCCCTGCGACAGAAGGCAAGCATGCCCAGATTGTCCACGGGTTGCTAAATGAGACCGTCCCTTTCTTAGTACCCATTCCCTGTCTTATAATTAGACCTGGGCAAATTTCCCGAGATTGCACCATCATTTTGGGCTTAAAGCTTCCAAAGTCCAACAATAATAGCGCATGTTCGCGACGGTTTTTTAAGTCAGTCAAGTTCTTAAACCAGGCCTTAAACGGCCAGTTTCAAGTGTCGATAACAGTTAAAAAGGCATACAAGCCTCATGCAAAAGACAGTGGGAAGGAAGTGCACATCGGTGAAGGGGAAAAAGGAGTAGCCCACAGTTATTTAGGGGTGGATCTTTCGAAACATTCTTATACTCTTGGACAGATATGCATTGTTTAAAGTTTTAGACAAACCAGGTGTAAATTTATAGCAACAAACTGTTAAATATACATCAGCAAGATTTTTGCGAATCCTATTTTTCGCTGGAGACTACCGTTTACTGGCTGGTCACGCAATCAAAGGTAACGTACTTTCCCACGTTTGTTTACTCACCTTTCGCTCAGCAATGCACTGCGCTCCACAAAGGATCCAAATTGCGCTGGAAATGTTTTGCTATTCGGCCCACTTTTTATCTCAGGTAAGGCACTGCAAAGCTGATTCACTTACGAAGATTCGAGGGAGAATTATTTCTTGATGTTATTCTGATTTCGCAGTCACGGGAAAACAGACATAGACTCAGGTCCACTCGCAGACGCTATGCTGCAATCTACAAGATCTCAAGAACAGAAATTACCCATTGAACGGCCTCTCCTTTTGAAGATTGCGTGTATTTCATGAAAACAGGTTCATATTAAAAGAATCTTGTTAGTTTCGCCCTTTTAAAGAGCTCAAATCGATGCATAAAACTAAGGTGACGTGCACGTGTCAATTGACCCTGGGGTCAATTAGCCGTTGTTTGGGGCAAAATAACCTCAAAATAATCAATCTATTTCACAAGCGTTCGCAAGAACACCAGACTAACTTTCAGATAATGTTGAAGTACTATATCTCATTGGGTAGTAAGCGGGATTTGGGGTGATTTGGAGAATTCCCCCATATAGAAAATTCGATTTTGGTTTTAGCGGTAAATTGTTGTATTTATAAGCATTATGCAAATTACGTTTCAAAATTGTGCTCGTTCGTCGATATTTTATACTCTAAATCTTAAAAATGTGCCGTTCAGAAATTGTTAGATATCTGCTTTTTGAGATTTAAGTGGAAGATTGCCAATATATTCGCTCGTTTATGAAAGTCAGCTCATCTCTGTCGCTAGGCTATATTGCCGTGTTCGGCGGCTAATTTTAGGCCCGCAGACCGTTGAAATCGAAAATCTCAAATAATTCCCAAATTCGGCCGCATTTTGAAATTTAAACCACAGCAGTGTTATAAACTCCTTAAAACCTTATTACAGACTGAAAATGAGGGTAAGTTAGGTTTTGAGCTGTGGCCACGATTTGCCGATTTTGCTCGATTTTTCTGTGCATTCGCTCTTAAAACCGTATTCATATTTTGTAACTGTTGTAGCTGCTGTTGGTGCAATTATGTGGCATTCCGATGTTGCTCTACTCTTTCCTCGTGTTCCTTAGCTCTTAAATCCCAATCAGCTTCTTTCGCCTCCTTCTCCATTTGTAGCTCTTGCTTTCTTAACTCCAGCTCCCCCTTCTTTTGCTGAGATTCTGTTTCAACTCTTTCCTTTGGGAATGCCAGTGAGTGAGCTCAGCTTGCCCTTTTCTTTTTTTTTTTTTGCGGTTTCGGCTTACCCTCTTGGTCCCTTTTCTGACTTTCTTTAAATGTTTCCAAACTTGTGTTTCTCATTTCTTCTGCTTGGAGAGCCTCTTTCTTGAATTTTTCTCCTCTTCGAATCATTAAGCCTGTCTGCTTCCTCAAACAGGGAGACAATTTCCTCCATCATCACGTCCACTTTGCTTAGCTCGGGAGACGTTCCTGAGGCCTTTTCGTCCTCGGAAACTTTGTTTCTGTAGCGCCTTTCAAGAAGCAGGTCTCTCTCATTCACTGAGCGCTGCGTTACACGAAACTTTGGGTCACTCGATCTTCCAAGGTGACAAGCAAGGCTTTCCCAAACTTCACCTCTTTCCACAGAGCCTTTTTTGTGTTGCCGAGGTTGAAAAATGTATCGTGAGGTTCCGTCCATTTCATGGCTTGGCTACCGAGAAAGAGTAAAGCCTTATAAGATTGGTAGAAATTAAGATATTTCAGAAAATGTTTGAACCCTTTGCCCCTTTGCCAGCCCCATTACTAAAGGTGGCCTCTGTTAAGAACTAGTTTTCCTTCATAGCACTTACCAAGAGAGGACAATCTGCACAACTGTGCCGGTAGAGATGGCAAAAAATCCTCCCTGCTATCAAAACAACATGCAATTTTACTTCTGCAGTACCTGAAAACGACCTCGTAAGAAATCACCCAAGACTACCAAAAACTCGGACAAAACTTTTTTTGATCGTTGAAGCTTTTAAACAATCAGTAAAAGGTTGATTTAAAAACATTGTCAAGATAATATAGTAAACTCATTTCAGTGATAAAAATTTCAACTAGTCGAAAAATTTTCATGAGTGTCTTTCAAGCTTTAAAGGTCGTCCAACGGGTAATCTTCCAAATACCGCTGTTTCTTCTTCTTCTTCTTTTTTTTATTTATTAAACATCATTCATTCTTCTTGTCTTGCTTCACTTTTTCTATTCTAACCTTCCCTGTGCAAATATCAATCCATTGGTTATTGAAAAAAGCATGCTAGAAGAGGTTACCCTGGGCCACACAGCGGGACCTTTTCGCACCCCTCCCTTGTCCAACCTGCAGGTATACCCCATTGGGCTCATTCCCAAGAAACACTCCTCCGAATGGCATACCATATTCCACCTCTCATATCCGAAACACCGCCTCACCACTGTAAACGCCCAAATTCCTCCTGAGTCCTATTCTTTGCAATACATTAAGGTTGACCATGCAATTGCCATTCTTCATGATCTCGGCCCAGCGTGCTTCATGTCAAAACTAGATATAAAATTAGCGTTTCGCAATGTTCCTGTCCATCCTTCAGATTGGGAACTCCTGGGTATGAAATGGGGGGGAGGGGGGTGCTCTATTTCTTCGATATGGTCCTCCCATTCGGTCTTAGGTCTGCCCCCTTTTTTTGATGAATTCTCTTCTGCTATTGAATGGATCATGCGAACTAAACTTAATATTCCCAACGTAGTCCCCATATACTAGATGATTTCCTTTTTTTTCTACCTCCCCTCCCTGATGAAAATGCATGACCGCTCTATGCCAAATTGTACATCTTTTTACAGATCTGAATATCCCCGTAGCTCCTGGGAAAACCCTCTATGCGTGTACCTTGAATGAATGATTTTCCAGTAATCAGAGACCCATGTTTTGCGTACAGGATTATGGGATGGCCAGGGGGCTAACATTGCGAGTCGCTGCAAAGAAATGTATGGCGTGGAGTTGTTTCTGGGTTAAAAAGAAGTGTCTTTGGACATAGAATTCCACATTTTGCCGTGATTTTATGAGAAGCGGAGGCGACTAATGTTGGTGCATTGAAATTTAAAGTTTCTGTGTGATTAATGCGATAAATTCTATCGATAAACACTCCTTGCGTGAGGTTGAGTGTGAAATTTATGGTTACTGAATTCAGTGATCTACATGAAGAAAAGGTCTCGAAATATATAGCGCAAATTTAGGTATAAATGTAGAGGCTCATTTAAACTTTTTAGTTGTAAGTACGTGTGGTGTAACTACGCTCGGCTACTGTGCGGGTTGTGACCTGGTTGTGACAAGACAACAATCGAAGGTACGTACATGGTCATAACAATAAAAAAATCCTCCTTTACATTGGTATAAACAAAGCAACATCAACGAAATGTTTCATGGAAAGTACATGGTATAAAAGCATTAGTAGATGAGGCAGAAATAGTACGAGAGAGTGCCGCAAACAAGTAAGATTTCCGATACAAAAGCAGTGAGTGTGTATATAAACTGTAAATAACTTGATGTGCGAAATTCAGAGACGACAACAACAATCTTTATTGTGCTCTTGATACGAAAAGTGTAAAGACATTAAAAGGAACTAATTATGAAAAAAAGAGAGCACAGCCACTCAGAATTAGCAAAAGCTAATCGCGCTGAGTGGCTGGGCCATGCGGAAAAATAACTATATATCAAACTTGTTATAAATAACGAAATGCATAGAAAGACACACAAAGAAGAAATGTATAAGCTGTAATAAATAAACAAATACACAAACGAATAAACAAAGAAGCAGGACAAAACAAGGGCTGTGCACACAATTAGCTGCATACAAAGTACACCAATCAATCTTTGGAGATGACAGATTCTTTTAAAAGCTTTTTAAAGCAAGAACGACTCACTGATTTTAGATCGTCTTTAATAGTATTTCTCGTGGCCATTAAAGTTCAGCACGTTTTTTCGATAGATTCAATTTTCGAAAACAAGATCTTGTCTAACTCCTCACGAGTAACGTACACAGCCATAATATTACCAAAAAAAATGAAAAAAAACCCGACAAGGAGGCAAAAATTAAGAGATTTTGACGCTAAATCAAAAACGCGTCCGGACTGCTGACCCTCCAAGAGAGAGATTCTATAGTTTCTCACAAAATGATTGGAAAAGGCATTAGAACTCATTGTTGCTCTAGATCATGACCAAACATGTTGCTCGTGTTTTTTTTTTTTTTGGCGAGAGGAAATCAGTATACCAACGTTAATACATATCAAATTCAATACGTACCTGATCGTTGTTACAAACCGGCACAGCGTTGTGTTCACCGCCGAGCCAAGCGTAATTACACTCGTAAACATCAGCTCATGTAGTTACAACTGGAAAGGCTCAAATGAGTCCGCATTCCCCGCTCATTTATACCTAAGTTAGTACTATATATTTTGAGACCATTCAGTAAATTTCACAGTCGACCTTTTCGCAAGGAGTGTTTATCGATAGAGTTCATCTCATCGATCCCACAAAAACTTACAATTTCAACGCACTACAGCAACACTTTCTCCAAAATTGGAATGAGGTGTCTCTCTTTTCAGATACCCAGGTCACCTCTCCACCTGAACTTCAGCTATACACTGATCCTTCTGGTTCCCTTGGGTATGGGGGTTTCTTAGCAGGTGGATGGTTCCAGTGCCCCTGGCGCCCCCACCACACTCTCAGCCAAAAAAGGGGTATTAGTATTGAATGGCCGGAACTATTTCCCATATACGTCCTCGTTTTGTCCAAATCCTAATAATTTCCCTGCCCTTTAGGCGCAGGAAATTATTAGGATTTGGACAAAGTGCAATTGAAATCATTCCCTAACTTCCCGAGTATACCATTTGATATCTATTAATGTTATAGACGACAAATTTCGCTCACAATCGTTTAATTTATCGATCGAGAACTCCGCGGACTAAAAACTTTAGAGCTTAAATTTTACCTAAGTTCAGAATTTTCAGACAAAATACCTGTTAGAATCCTTCTTGATATGCTCTTTCGTGTGTTTAGGTTTTCTAAAGGATCTTTATGCCCGCGAAATCTTCATTCATAACATTTTAGAACTTTGTCGCCATCTTGGCATTGAGACGTACGGAAGGTTGCCATAGCAATTTTGGAATTTCACATGTTAAATTAATATATCGATTCAGCCAGGGCTAAAAGCAAAGCTCCCATTAATAAATTTATAATTTAAATCAAACAACAAACTTGTAATCCGCAAATCAGTTAACTTAAAGGCACATTCATGTGACTTTTGAGGGAAAGGCTAAGTTATTTTAGAGTGAAGCTAAGTTATTTTAGAGTTAAACATCTTACGTCGAGTTGACAGCCTTATATGTACACCCAAAAAATAGCAAACATCTTCGATCACATAATGGCTTTTGATCACAGTAGATTAGGCCTCGAAAACAAGGCCGAATTTGTTTTCGTTCGACAGGTTTACTTCACAAATTCTTGCCAACAAATCTGGGGGTGTGTAAACCAACCTTTTATACTTTTTATACATCACATCTGAGGTGAAACAGTACTATTTATCATACAGACCTCGGACAGAATGCAGTATTTCACAATTTTTCAAGACAAATTGCACTTAGTCAATATTCAGGACAATTAATCGTGTGCTTTTAGCGAAACCGTTCAAACAATTTCCAAAATCACCCATACGGCCAGCCGGTTCTCATTTCTTGTGCGAAGTGTCAGTGTGGTCGAGTGTTTGAATGAACTTTAATCAGTTCGGAATATCCCTAAATTTAAGGACAGGGCCAACTGGTCACGCGACACTTTTCAACCAATGAGAAGGCTCGCTTGTGTTTATCAAAACACAAATCAAAACATCACCCCAGTGATCAAAAATTTTCACAACAGCGGACGGAGTCGGACAGATAATTTAAGATCGGGTCGTTTTTACTCCTGAAAAAGAGTTCTTCTACCTCCCAGTCTGGAGTTAAAGTAACTCAGAAAATGGGATTATTTTTTACTTCTTACAGGGGTTATTTTTACTCTTTTTGGGGTTACTTTAACTCTGAAATTAGAGTAAAAATTTTACGTACAGGATAACTCCTTTTACTCCTCAATGTTAACTCCTAATCTGGGGTGATTTTTACTCCTGAAAAAGAGTTCTTTAAACTCCTTTTTGGAGTTAAAATACCTCCCTAAAAAATAACTCCACTTTAAGTAGTTAAATTAACCCCACTAGATAATAACTCCATGAAAATTACTGTGTAAGTTCAGTTTCCAGGAACCTTCAAATTTCGGTCATGTTACGGTGGCTCGACAAGACATGTTTTAGGGCCGGTACCTCCCATGTCTGAGCATCAACTACGTCGCTATTAACAAATATATAGGAAAACAATTATGACAGCTTCATTCTCAAAGGTGTCATAGCAACGTTATGAAATCATTATCTATTTCACTTGGAGCCGTATTTCTCAGCACTGGAAGGGTTTCAAAATCTCCATAATCGTTAAAAGGAGCTGAAGCTGCCTCAATGTTCTGGAGATTTGAGCAAAATCTGTGGGATTGTATGTAGATAATTACTTTGACATAAAGTTTTTATGATTACAAATACGGTTAAAGCGAGAGGACAGTCTTGATGCTGGGCCATTATCTATAGAAAACGAAGTGCTTTTGAAGTACATCTCTCTATTAATCTTTTCGTTTAACAAAAGGAGCGAAAAATCGTCAAACCAATAAAGGAGATGAAGTACGCAATGCCAGCGACAACAATAATGCCATATACGTAAAATATATTCCATTTAAAGATGGAGTGATGATCAGGAGAGTCCTCCCACCCAAAGCGAATTCAGTCCACCATTCGAAAAAGAAACACTTTTCACATGGTTGGAAATACAAATAGTAACATGTTTTAAGAGCGACGGTCGGGAAATATGGAGCATTGAGTGGCAAGAGTTGAAAAATCGATTTCTCTCATTTTTTTCTCCATAGAGAGATTTTGGGTATGGGACAACAAAAAAAAAACCGGGAACGTACTCCTCATTACAGGATACTTTCAGGGAAATAGCCAGACTCGTTGAACTGAAATAATTCAAAAATGAGGAACAGGTTTTCACGATAACAAAAACTTAACTTTATTAGTCATTTTCGATAGCCAAATTTAACATGTGGTATAACTCCAAATTCTCTTCATCCTAGTCAAATCAGACATTTAGACATCTAAAACATAGCTGGGAATTGGCTTGGCTTCTTGAACGAAATATCTCAAAGACGGCATCAAATTTCAGGAAATTTCGTGGTAGGCGGGGCGGTAATTGTGTAAACACTTCTGCATAGTTGCTTTTCTAATCAAGGAGTGAAGAGAAAAAGTCAAACTGAAAATCAAGATTTTGCTCGATTTTTCCTGACCGTCCTTTTAAAGACAAAATTATGAAACGTAGAGGGGAACGCAAGATTCCGAATTTTCAATATTCAATAGCTAAATCTGTGATTATATGACTAGCTGTCTACATGTATTTGTTTGTTTGTTTTTTTCTTTAGCAAAACGTGTGTCTTCGGTACGGTGAAAATGTGGATACACTGTTTTTGCATGAAGCAGAAATGGCAAATGTACTCCGTCACAAGAACATGCTTTCTGTTTATGGTGCGGTAACTGGAAGTTCCTATTCACCTGCTTTTGCTTTGGTAAGTTTAATTACAAAATCATTTTATTTTTTACAAATTCTCTTGTAGACATTTGGCCGAACAACGCCGTTTGAATCTAGTTAAGCCCTTTTTGCTTGGTATTGAACGGAAAAGGCCCAAAACTTCTGAAAAAGTTGTTTTCAAGGTTAGCGAGAGCTATGCTGTATTGTGTTACTGATGCTAAAGTTTTTCGGATGATGTTTTCTTTTGAATTACTAGGATTAAGATATTTCTCCGTTTCTGTCTGGCCAAAATCCCACGCTTAATTCATCATAACCAGCGATTGTTGACCAAATTTGGAAGAATTTTGCGAAATGTGAAAAATGATGTCAATCGAGCAAAATTGCTAGATTATTGAACCGTATACCGAGAAGACCTGAGGACGAGATTGAGTTGTTTAATAGTGACTACAAAATGGCGAAACATTTCACTCGTTCCACGAGGAAGAAGTAGGTGAACTATTGCCTGAACATAACAAGAACAGCAAGAAGACAACTCGACGGACGACATCTGCTATTTGCAGAGAATATTTGCAGACCTGAACAACCCTTTATCTCCTAAATTTGCTGGTAAACATGCACTATCGAAGATGAACCTCAGAGGGTGTTATCCGCAGAGGCCGTACACCCTCCTCGATCTCCACGATTCCTCAGATGATACGAGAGCTGAATTCAATAATTGTTTAATGTGTAAACATTTATTAAAATAGGGAGCTTACCGAATACGTTTTTGAGCGACGCACATCAACCAGGAGTGAGGCCTTGCCCCTTCAAATATTATGTACTAGATTTCTATTGCTAAGAGTTTTACCCTCACAGAGATGAATTTTCGGAAAATGTGGGAAAAAGACCTATGTGCAAGAATGCAAAAAGTCTATTTCCTGCAGTGATTGACCTGCGTCACTCAAAACCGTATTTGCTTTAACAGCTCCATCATGACCTCCTCTGAGTCCTCAAGGGCCATCTGATCTTAACAAAATTCTTCTTTGAAAAATTTAGCATCTTGAGTTACTATAGTATTATGGTTATCTGCTTGGTCTTCTTGTGTGACATATTTGTAAAACGTGAAATTGGTGTGGCTAGCAAAACAATCGCTTGGAAAGTTTCACTGGTATGAATAAAGCAAAAACAACAACCACGAGCGTAGGTGGTAGTGCTACTATTCTGCTAATTTTTCTTTTCATCCTTTCGCAGTAGCTTCCTGCCTGCATCCAAAATGGTAGCTCATGATGCTCCTTTGTCAGGGGAATGTCCTTTCCAAAGTGTTTAGGAATATGTCCGTTTGATAATGCGAAAATCTTGCATTCAGTACATTGTGATAGCCGTCAATAACCTCTCTCCCTCCCCCCCTGCCTCTGCAGTTTTATTTTCATACGCACGCTCGACGATCTCTAAAGAGAAGATAGGGGGTCCGAACAGGCTAGCATGTATGCAGGTTACATTGTAAATTCAGTCCTTTCACGGTAGGTAGTGGAATTCGCAGAATATGGGAACCTCCATGAATCCAAGGACCACCGGACTATAGAAGAACTATGCAGATTTACAATACAGGCCGCTACTGCGCTGGAATACGTTGAGTCAAAGGGTATCATCCACCAAGCGGTCAACTCAAATACCTGCCTGGTTGTGTCAAAAACGGAGGTGAGCTTACACGATGTAGTTTTTGTTGTGCTTGTGGTGTACACTTGCATACTGCTCTCAAGAAAATCACGATGCGTTGTGGTTTCTCTCTTTCAGTCTGTAATCCTGTTTTGAACTGTTCCTCACTCTTTAAAAAAAGTGTCTCTTCCTCTCGCTCACCATTTTCCCACAAGGTGAAGTCCGTATGGTTTGTGCTTACGCAAGGTCCTCCCCACAATAGAGGGGAAAGGCAAACACTCTCGCACAGTGGTAAACAAACAAACCAACAACAACAAAAAAAGGCAACGTTGTGCAACTGTACCTAAAGCTGTCCATTAGTTCCTTTACAGCGGCAGGACAAGCTCAGTCGGTGGAGTGCTTGGCTGCAGGGTGCGGTGTCGCGGATTCGATTCCCAGGATCGAGTCTCAAAGGGGCAATGACACGCTACTTGCCATCTTTTGGAAAAAGCTAAAACTTCTCTTCGGGTAGTTAGGTACATGGAGGTATAGACGCATTTTCCATATTCTGGGTTTGACCCCAGGATTTTGCTGACGTCAGCATTTTTTGGATTTTCTGGGTTTTTCCTGAAATTGGATACGATTTTCGATTTCATTTTGGGAGGTGCAAAAATTATTTTCTATTTCTTGTTCACTTTGATGGGAATTCCTGGAAGTGGCTGATGGGATTTTTTCTCGGAAGGAATCTTCAGTGCCAAATGGCAATGGTTAAGATCTGGCAAAAAAGAAAATACATTTGTCCAAGGTGCAATAGGACCATAACAAATGGTAGTAAATCTAAGCACAATAAAACTTGTAACTAATAATAAGATCAACCAGTGCAACATGGCGATTATAGGCTGAATAATATCAAGCTAAGCTGAGCTGGGCCTAGCAGTCACATCTATAGGTTATACTATTTTTCAATACGATGGGTATATTTGAGATGATTTGCGTATGTTTTATGATTGTGAAATGCTTGGTTACAGTGCTTACATGGGATTCTAACACCTTCCATATAAATGTGGATGTATTTGGTTATAAGGTCGTAATCATTGCTGATCATAAAGTAGAAGCCATTCTTTTTGCACCTCTTTTTCATCTCTTTCTGTGCTTTACTAATTTGGTAATTATATTATTCAATACAAAACCCAGAGCAATGATTTTGGTAATTCATGATCATAATATCTGGCTGGCCTTACATATAGCCCTTTTTCCAGGAGTTAATTCTTTTGGAGCATGTGTCCTGTAATTCACTAAGCCCGGCCACAATGATAGCCTCAGGATAGAACCGCTTGATTTATTGCACAATCTCACAGTGAAGATCGGTCTCATTCTCTATTTTAAACATGTTATTTGGGTTGTCGAATAATTTGTTCTGTCCATATTTTCTGATGGATGGTAGTACTTCTGTTGTTTTTCCCAATGTTTGAATTTTTTAGCTGATTCTAACTTTGAGGATAAAATAAGGGAATAAAATCTGGATTCATTTTTTAATTAGACAGTCGGCCCCTCTGAGAATAACCCGTCGTTTTGACGGGAAAAGATTTTTTGTCCTCAAGCTCAACATGTTTTCTCAAAGCTTGGTCTGTATCAGCATATTCTAAAATTTCAGCAATATCTTTTCCCTTGAACCAGATATTTTGCTTGGCATCAATATATGAAGTCAGTTAAATTTTCAACTCATCGTTGGCGAATGTTTTTTCTAGCATTCCCATTAATATAGTGTATATAATATCTCTTCAAATATGTTTGGTTTCAACAGCCAGAACCATAAAATGCTTTGGCCATTATGGCAGAATGCAGATATAAATAATTTGAATACTCTTTTTTCACCTCACCGATGCTACTAATCTTGCATTTGGTCACATTGAAATATGTTTTATAGTTGCCATTCATGATATCAGTACAAATTGCACGAAGAAGATCAGCCAGTATTATGTTGTTATCCATAGCTTCTTTCGATTTTTTCGCATATATGTTCATCAGAGATCGTTTATGCCTCATTGCAGCAAGATCATACAGCTCATCTAGTTCATCTTCTTTATCGCAAATATCTAAATGTAGTTTTTCAACACATTTTACAATATAATCAGCCATCTATATATTAGTTACGTAAATTTTGTAAGCCATTCGGTGGAATCCAAGAATTGAAGTCATCGTTATATCCTTTCTAAGATACTAAAGCTTGTTTCTTTTTGTAATCCCTTCGAATGACTATCAATGCAGAATATATCTTGTTTTGCCCTCAGTAATTCAGATTCGTAAAAGGTCTCTTGTATCTCCTCATTGTTGAGGTCCTTTAACCTGTAGGTAATTGGATTTGTGGATTGGATTTTGTCAACCAGGAATATCTCTTCAGTCCAATTAGGTGTGAAGCATTTATCAAACACCTTTCTATTTACTTATCCTAACTTTATTGCCAAACTTGACCTTGGGTTTAGATGACAATTGCTCCATATCGCCATATAGGTTAAAATACACGGTACTTTCATTCTTCTTTTCACTGGCTTCTACAGAAGTCATTTTAATTGAACTGTGCTTGGGGTTATTATACTGATTCAGTATTTTTGGCAGCGTATCAAGATATACTGTATTACCTTGAACAGTGAATTGCTTCCACATCTTGGTTCTGATTGCACGGTTCCATCTTTCACAAACAAAGGACTTTTCTTCATTCTCGGTTGAATACAGTGTTATGTTGTGCTTTTGCAACAGGTCTTTCATGTGTTTGTTATAATGTGCTGTCCCTTTATCAGTCCATAGATATTGTGGTTTACGGCCCTCTTCAAAGATGGTTTTAAATGCTTGTGTGAAAGTTTCTCCTTTTTTATCTTTCAACGGAACAATCCAGCCATATTTGGAGAACAGCTCTAACACCATGAGAAGATATCTATAACCTTTATTCCACTTGCTGAATTGTTGCATTTCAGCCAGATCAGAGCACCAAATTTTGTCGATACTGTTTATAATAACACGCCACCGAGTGAAGTTATGCTTTATCGGTTTATGTAATTCATCCACTAATTGCTGTTGCCAACTCGACGGCTTTTTCCGTTTATTGAAACATCGAGTCCGAGTTTCTGTTTTTTATCTATTAAAAATCTAGCTGTTTTACCCCATTTTGGCATCTCACCATAAGGAATCTCATCTAGTGATTTTACCATGGCTCTGTCACAATCAATCATTGTTTTTGCCCATATCATAACATATGTCGTGATAAGCTGCTCTTTCATCCACTATATTGTACGGCTGAACATACCATTCTAGTACCTCACCAGTGCTGGGATCATATTTCAACTGCTTATCAAGGGGGTTGTACGGCCCCATGTATCTATATTTGCTTGGAGTGAAACTAGCTTTGGGGCGAGGAAGTTTGCCTATAGCCTTGTGTATATCCAATCCTCCTCCAAATCCTGGAAATGTAAAAGATGGTTTTTCGATTAAACCCAGTTTTTTCAGAAAAGTTGTGTAAGATCCTTTGAAACCAAGAGTTTTCACACTATCATGTGACAGTTTTGCTGCTTTTTCTTTCACTTTACCCTCAGCACGTTCTTGTTTGTTTTGAAATTTGAACAGATCAGGGTCTTTAGACAACTTTATTCCAGTTTTAAAATCAACGTGAAATGGACTACCGGCAACACCACCAACGGTTAATTCGCTTATGCCGCTGGATTTGGCTTTATCAATGATATCAGATCCTTTTTGAAGAATATGTCCTAAACCCAATGCATTCATAAAATCTTTTATGGACCCGTTAAAACCAGTTATTATTAATTCAAAACATTTCCCCGATTCTGATTGGCTAAAAGCACACGTTTAATTCACTTTATTATTCATTCAAAATATTTTCCTGATTCTCGGAGAGTCTTATCTCAATCTCCATAATTCTTCATAAGATACTCAGCCTCATTCATTAATTGTTAATTATCAATGCATTTTTATAAGCATATTATTATATAGCCAATTGAACTTGGTATGCTCTCAGTTTCTGTGGGTCATTTGCTATTTCTGCTATCTGGTTAATAAATTCTTGTATATTATCACCTTTTTGTAAGGCTCCACCATCTAAATCCTTTCTATCAGTTTTGTATCTTTTATTCGGCCTAATCTTTGTTGACAATTGATCAAGAGCTTGTGATCCAACATTTTGTATTACAGGAGTGAGCTTTTTTAGTCCATAATTTATAGCCTTCTTCTGCAAATGTTTATTTCTGAGAGCTTTGGAACCATAATATCTTGCCATTTCTACACTCTTTTTGCCATATATGGAAGAGCGTGTTCTACAAATAAACTTGTTGCAGTTCCTACAGCAGTGTCAAATAAATCGCCCCCTGCTTGAGATGGCCCAATTAGTTTCCCTTCATGAATTTGGTTTTAGTGATTCTGCATTCAGCACAGGTGCATTTTATCATTAATCGGCCATTTTTAGCTTCAACAATTGTTTCACTACCTGGTACACATTCTGTCTGTTTTTTCTGTTTAACACAATAAGATTTCACCATTCCTATGTACAATATGTTACATGAAAATGATGGTTAAAAAGTATCCGAGCGTTTCACTGGGTAATTCTGAGGGGCTTCTTTTTTAAATATTACCACTGCTGCTACCTGGAATATGCTGGGTCTGCACCTTAATCACTGTCGCTCCTGGTGTCTGTAACATAAGTTGGTTCTCCACTTGAGCTATCCGACTCATATTCACTTTCACTGCTGCTCACAGTTACAGCATTCAAAATTTCCATATTCATTAATAAAGTGTCTTGTCACTTCTTGGCAATATCTGCAGAATTTATCAGTCATTATATATATAGATTACACTATTTTAAAATACTTCTCTATAAACTGCTCATTCTTCATTGTGTCATGAATGTCAAACACTCTTAGGAGGTCATAATATGTTGCACCCTTGCTCATCTCATTCAAAAAGTACAAACAGAAGTAACCGCATGTTGATGTTTTAATATTTTGTATCTGGTTGTTTGATGCAATAGTGTCAGATTCTTGCTTCTGGCGTGATTTACCATCTCTTGAAACGGAGGCATCCCAAAACTGTCAAAATAATTGATGACACCATCTTTTACATATGTGGAGACCCAGTGAGACCCACTCATATAAGATAGCTAATGGAATACCGATGGTTGCTAGAATAATCCCAAGGCCTCGGCCCGATTGCATTTGTGTTGGTCTGATGTGGAAATCTGAACCCAATTGAGCGTCTTCGAGTAGATCCATTTGCTGTTTTGCTGTCAATAAATCCTTATAAGGAAACATTCTATTGAGTCTATTATATAGGACTATGAAGCCTCCTACTTGCCCTCCAGAGATCTTTTTTTCTAATTTTCTTCCAAAGTCTACCACATCAGTAAATATATTACCTCCAGATATCTTTTTTACCAATTGACTGGCGCCTTCACTAGCAAGACCTGCTAACGCTAATGAACCAAGTGTTTTACCCAGTGTTGGTGCCAATGCTCTGCCCATTGATAAAATACTAGTTAACAGGCTACCTCCTACTTGCTTTCGTATATTAGTCTTTCCTAATTGGATATCCATACCTTTGTTTGATCGGCGGTTCTTGTTTAATCTCTTTACAATATTTGATGGAACATATTATAGTGTATCACTTCCGGAAAGTGCGTTGCTTGTCAATCGAAGAACAGTTGTCTCTCTCTGATGAAAAGCCCGAGAAGGATTCCTTGTTTGGTTTTCTGATAGTTTTCTTTTATCTCATACAGTTGCCTCATATCTTCTATATATTATATGTTAGATAATCTTTGATTAAAAAACGTATTTACTCCCCAGGGGGGGCGTCATTTACTAAAACTGGTAGTCTACCAGATCAAAATAAATTAATGGGAACAGACTGTTATAATTAGTAAGATTCAATTGCGTGCCAGTATTGTTATCATTCTTCCGCACAGCATACGACATCAGATCATTAAAAATCCTTACTTTACTGTCATTGTTGTATTCCTTTTCTGGATAAAAGACACCATTACCATATTCTTACCTACAATTGTTCAGAGATGCTCCGTCTAATGAATATGTGTCCATCTTATAAGGAGTTGTTTCAAAATGTCTGCTTCCGTTTGCATTTCTGTAGCTTTTTTTGAGATAAACGAAAATATGTTTGACATTATCGGTACTAGCAGATATTTGGAAAAATCCACTTGCTGTCGTAGGGGCCGAAACCTCGAACATTTCTCGCATGTATGTCCATTGCGTTTCTTTTGGAAATGAGCTAACAAATCTGTCATACATGCTGTCTTTTGGAGTTAATTTTGGAATCCGTAGAAGAAACCTATCAACAACAACACGACCATTAGCAGAGGCATTGGCTCTGTGTATCAATTCATCATCATCATTTAGTTCTTTGTTGAATTGCAGCTACATTGGAGCTAGCATTTTGCCTTCAAGCTCTTCAAAAAAACTGTATCTGTTCAATGGGATGATAACCTTAACATCCTTCCCTCCAGCGTTCAAAGCATCATCTGCAGCCGCTTGTGTTTTCTTGCTTCAAATCCCGTATTTGTGTTTGCTGTAGTATTGTTAGTATCCAGATACCATAGACTATTTTTTGCCACAGATCTTCTGTAATCATTAGAATACTCCAATAGATTCTTTGCAAATGTGACATTATAGTTATCAGCTGATTTGATCATTAGATACTTGATAAGGCCGTGAGCACCATTAATAACTGTTATTATATCAGCAGCAACATATCGATCGCCATCTGTTATTGTTTGGAGATGAAACTGCACCTCAAAATAGGCATTAATTATACCAATCAAAAAAAGAAATCTTGCGGTTAATTGTGAACTTGTAACCATTCTTTATTTGGTGTTGGTTGTTTCCAGGTTATCTGATAACATCATCTAGCTGATATCTCACCAGTTCATTTCGTTGCAAATATTCACTTGATCTAAAAGCCACTTATATTAATAGGTTACACTATTTTGCGTCTTCTTTTTTTCCTGATTCAGATATCAAACGGTTCAGTATCATGTCTGTTGATTCCTCTTGCTTGACCGGTTTTGTAGTTATTGATTGAGGTTTGCTTTTAGAGAATTGGCTTGCCAGCTTTTTCATAATTAAATCGCCACTTTTTTCAGCAGCTTCTTTATCCAGTTTATCACCAGCATGTGAAATACCGGATTGCAGTGCTTTTTTGGCAAATGGTTTGACAAATGTTTTGGCTACTGAAGATGCAACTCTCTTCGTTGGTTTGAGAATATTGTCGACAATTATACCACTTCCTTTGTGCTTATAAACAAATCTACCCAGCTTTGGGTGAAAAAATCTCATGAATTCAGGTGGTTTCATCTATATTATAACGTTATACAAATTTAAGCTATTGGTTCCAATCGTCTCAAAATCAAGCTGATTGAAGTATCAGCTCCGTTTAAATCCACGACACGTCTTGTACCATTTGTGATATACATTCTGATAGAGCTGATAGTTTGTTTGTTAATCGGATTAAATGTGATTCTTCTTGGTTTAAGAGTAAAACTATATGATGGTCTTAGGACACTTGTACTAAAGCTGTAAACGACGTCACTTTCTTCTCCATCCACAAGACTATCACTGACTAAATCACAATGAATCTTGAGAATATCTGTGTCTTGAGACAGATTTGGTACTTCTGTCCCTACATTGCTACTGGCTGTGAGAATTTTTTTTATCAAACCCTATCAGCTCATAAAAATTAAATTTGGTGAGATCAAGTTGATAATTGATAATTGATAATTGGTTGATAATTTTATTATTACTTTGAACACAGTTTCATCAATTGCGAGAGTGATGGGGCACTCATCGTCTTTACCAGGTGATTTTATAAGCGTCTTTTGTTTGATGTATGAATTAAACTCACTATAATTCCATACACCTGGCGGAAATGATATATTTGTAAATTAGTTCCTGAATCGCTGCTGCATCGGATAAGCTGATTATCATAGCCAGCATTTAGATTGAATCAGGTGAAGCTCGTGTTGATTATACGGCTTAAACCAACAACATACTATCATGATTATTGTCTAAGACTATTGGCCTTGTGAATTTGGTATCAAAGTTTCTAGGTTTATTATTTCCTTTGTTTTTAACCGAGTAGGAGGATAAAACTGTTTCTTGTTCCATGTATTATATAATTAGATTGTATTAAAATATTGCTTATACAATTTTGCATGATGAGCTTTATTAATTGCTGAGGTTCTCAATAATGTGTCCAGTATTGTAACTCCCATGTTACGCATGTCAATTGATGTATTACCAGCCATTATTTCACCGATAATTAATTCTAACTTTTTGAACAATTGCTTGGGGTTATTGAAGAACATCACATTACCTCCTCTTTTTGGCATTCCTGAACCTTGTATTCCCTTTTGTTTTAGTCTCATAATAGTTGATATACTGGTTGAACACAACTCTTCCATCATCTATTGTATTTTCCTGGGCCCTTTGTGCTTCATTTATCTGGCCCTTATTATATGCGTTTGTAGCTTGTGTCTTATAACCTTTTAGTTGGTTTCTCAAAAAATTTCCATTATATATTACCTTATTAAGGTATGATCTAGTCTTTTGGGGTGTAATTTCTGGTTGATTTAGAATATTCTCAACATTATCATAATCAGTGATGTCCAGATCTTTCAAAATCTCAGTAGTTCTGTCTTCTGCATCCAAAGCATAGTCGGGGCCTTCATCCCCATCATATTCTGCAGGCAAATCTTGTTGCTCTGGAGGTAAATATTGAGGAGCAACATACATTTGTTTCTTATCCTCTAAAACATCCGCTCATGATTATTCATAGGTAGGCGGTTTTGGCACTAATTGTTTGTTTTGTTCTGGCTCAAATAGATCGTCTAATGCATAATCAGGAATATCTTCATTGTATAATCAGGGACTGCCATTTTTTTACCACGTTTTCTCTGCAATGCTGGCAGTTTCAAATTACTCAGTGCAACATCGTCTAATTTAGAAGTTATTGGTTTGAACACCTTTTGAAAAGATTCCTGCCTTTTTTTTCTCCCAACTGATTTTTCAAGATTGCGTCATGCACAAAATTGATTTTATCACCTAGTTCTGTTTTTCTCTTAGCAATTTCCTTCCACTTGAGTAAACTCATTTTTATTATACTATTAGGTTACACAAAATTCACAAATCTAGTATAAAACTGGCAGTTGAACCAAAAACTTGTGTAACACATATTATAGAGAATGAAAATACTCAACTTAACAATTAGTTCATGCGTCAGCGTGCGTATGTCGAGATATTGAGCACGTGGGAAGTTTGGAGAGCACAAAAGAGGCGTAAGATTGCGCCTCGTGCAACTTTAGCCTCTTGAGTGCTCTCCAAACTTCCCAAGTGCTCAATATCTTGACATACGCACTGCCGCCTGAAGCATGAACTAATTGTTTTATAACATTATATTATATCAAATTATATTATTATATTAATTATATTAATTATATTATATTATATTATATTATATTATATATATTATATCAAAGCGATCAATGCAGCAGTTAACTTAAAATTTTATTATTGTAGGGCGGGCTCAAAGCAGTACGCGTCAATGTTTACGTAACTATGTTTTTTTCCCTCACAGTTAAGCTTATGTTTTTATCCTGAAGCTGAGAGAAAGTCTACTCTAAAATGATTGTAAAATCCATATTTAGGTACCGGAAAACTATCATGTAATTCACCGAAAAACTGTTATTGAGAGAAAACAACTTTGCAAAGAATGAGCTCACGCCATAGCGCGCACAACTCGCGGAGGTGACAACAACAATAACACTCACCTCTTTTCCCTATCGGTTAGCAAATGCAAACGTTTCCTCTTAAATTTCCTTATAAAACACATGGTAAACGCTTCATCGTGTACTGCTGAGTTATGGATACACTCGGGAGACTCGCGATTGCTGAGCTCACAACAACTCGAGGAATTACGAATAGTTTATTGACGTCATCAGCGTGCTCAATAGGAATATGAAGCACGCTCGCGCTATTGAATTTGATTAGTCGAATTTTCTAGCTATGTTATAATATGATGTTTGAAGATAAACAATCTAACTATAAACAGAAAGTGCCATTCATGCCTGATATATGTTTTAGAAAGCTGGTTTGCGGTCCTTTGGTTTAGGGCAAAACTAATCCTTTGTTGGATATGATCTATAGATTGCTGTATTATTACAAGATACACGTCTATGCTAAAAATCTACATCAGAGCAAGTATCAGCATTTAATAGACTTATTCGAGCCTGTTAGTGAAGAAGCTGGTTATTCCATCATTGAAGCCAGTTATGATAAAATAATTTCGCTGGATAAAATGCCATGTGATAATCAAAAGTTAGTCATTTTCGATGATTACCTCAATACAGGAACAAAGAATGATGCTGAGATCGGCAACTACTTTACTAATTCCAGAAATAAAAACTGCAGCTGTATCTATTTATCTCAGAGCTATTATGGTACTGATAAAACAATCCGATAAAACTGCACACATCATTGTATCTTTGACTTTCCTTCCAGCAATGAGCAGAATACGATATGCAGAGAGCTTGGGATCAGCAAATCTCACTATCAAAGAGCCAAACAAGAACCATATGATTTTCTCTATGCAGATAAGCCCAAAAAACGTGTTGCCAAGAATTTTAATGAAAAGATACAATCTAATGTAAATATATATGAGTTATTCAAATGGATTACTGCACTTTAAAAGTCAGACTTTTGGTCAAGGTGAGAGAGGTATACCTGGCGTAGGTTTTAATCTAACATCAGATGGGAATTATGATATGGTAAACAAAAACCTGAAAAATGTTGGTGAAGGAACTGCTTCCAGTGATGCCATAACAAATCATCAGCGTGATATAGCAATAATTGATAAACATGATAATTCTTTGTTTGCACGCACATGACAACAGTCACGTGATTTTTCTTTGTCCGGCATGTTGGCCTCCCTCACATGTAAACAAATCTCTTCATCTCACTCATTTCTGCGCTATTGTGGACTGTGGACGGAAAAATGGAAAAGGGGAAGGGGTTGCCAAGTTTCGACTTCCTGCCATTATTTATCATAAAGGCAAGGAAACAGAAGAGGTCACGAGAGAGAAGAATGCGATGGATTTCTGCGATAAGCCGAGATGATCTGACCGAATTAAAGCTTCAAAATGAAAGGGTATGTAGCCGACATTAGGTTTTGGGAAAGCATGCACCATCGTGGGATAAATTTAATATTGATTGGGTGCCGACTCTTAATCTTGGGCATACGAAGAATACAAACACAATCGAGATCACGGAAGCGTCAGCATGGAGAGCTGAGAGAGCAAAGAGGAGAAGACAGAGTGCCATCGAAAAACAAGAGCATAAGGTCCCGGAAAAACGGCGAGCTCTCGATGATACTGGCAAGCGTGTCTCCGAAAAAAACTTCGTTGATGAGGAACTATCACATCATGAAGATGTTCACAGAGAGGTAACAGACAATTTGTGCCACGATCGATTTCGAAGTAGGGTGTTATGTTCAAACCACGATGGACACAGAGAGCGACCAAGGTGCCACAAAAACTGAACAGGCAACAGTTGTTGATGCAGAAACCCAGACGGAAGAGTTTGTTAACAAAGTAATCGGGCAAGATGCCACGGAAACTGAACAGACAACAGTGTTTGATGAAGAAACCCAAACAGAAGAGTTTGATTATTTATTCCAGAGACCGAATAGTTGTTCACCCCCAGACATTGATTTCTTCGATACAGATGACAAAATTCCCTTTTACACCAGTTTACCCACCAAAGAAATTCTAATTGCAGCCTTCCAGCATGTGGCACCTCATGTTCCTCGACAGTCCACAACACTGAATAATTTCCAGCAATTCGTGTTAGTACTGATGAAATTGAGACTTAAGAGGCTGTCCGCGTAAGAACCGATAAGGCAAATTTCGGTCTATCACGGATTGCCCTGATTTTTTCAGTGGAAGATGACTATCCTATCCCATGAAGAAATATCACATTTATTTGGACCAACTCAATTTTTTCTCTATTTTACAGGAAGATTTTCTCGGTCACCTAAAACTAGTCAGTTTGCCGTCGGAAGTAGTGCGATTTTGGTGAAACTTTAGGGCTCTGTCAAACCTACCTTACATAGCCGAATAATCTGATTATTTTACTCACAAAAGTTTTAACTCTCATTAATAGTTTCAATGTTTAATGGTTGCATTCTGTGGAAAGTTGGCTGAGATATGATTTTTTGAAAATGACCTTTAATTTGCTCAGCAGGAAAAGTAATTTGCATAACTAGAGCTGAACGGTAATTTCGCAAAAGTGGCACCTGACCCAGACTCAAGTCTATGATAATTCAGAAGTACTAAGACCAGTCTACTTCTTAACGCAATAAAATTTGTGGGCACTCTTCTTTGCGTGCCGTGCAAAGTTCCGTTAATGTTCCAAAATTCGCCATTTTGACAGCAAAGCTGGAATTGTAACGGGTCCGCATCTGATCGACTAATTTCCACAGCTTTAACGTTTCCAGTTATCACTAAATATCATTAGATCCTTTAAATGTTGGACGTTTGAAAACATGTGGAGAAAACTTAGTAATCGCTTTTCCTTGGGTCTTTTTCTTGTGGACGATGAACGTGACTTCGTTCTCGGTATGCAAATTAGCCTTAGATGCGTTGTTTCAACAAATTGACAGGAAATATAATCGTTACATTCACATTTCTAAGGGGAAAAATAATTCTCCTTTCCACAGAAAAACACAAACCATGACTTAGAATCCCCTTAAGGTCTGTTTTTTTTTTTTTTAACGAAGAAGAAGCAGCGGAATAATATATTATGATAGATGTTTGCGGCTTAAAATAATTCAATTACTATGGCCTGTCACGCATTCCTGAAGAGGGGTGGTCGATTAGAAAACAATAGCGTTGTGTCGATCAATTCGATAATATTATCATCTTTTTCTTAAATGATAGTTATTGATAATAATAAAAAATAAGAGTTCACTTGCAAGGTAATTCCTCCTGTCAGCACACGAAAATGTTTGGGCACTCTTTTTTGCGTGCCTTTATAAAAAATAGCGTTAACGTCGAAAGCTTTATTATGATATTTGCTTATCGGGAGAAGGCAGATCTTTGTACATGGCACTATGATAAAAAAAAAATGCCCCACACTTTTTCTATCTTAAATTAGCGGTAAATTTCAGTTTCATTCAAAGATCTTTAAAGCGTTTATCGGTAGCTTATCGGTAGCAGAATGAAAAGGGAAAAATAGTTCCTTTTTTCAGTGAATAAACGCAAAAGGGAGTATCTTTTCAGTTTTTGTTAGGGTATAACATCCGAATTCCAACGATGATCTCGTTTTGGTTTCAAACTGATTGAATTATAATGCAACAGGTGCCAGTTTCAAATTAAATATAATTATGTCACTGAAATCGCCGAAGAGATCAATTGTGAAAAATGGCTTTTTCGGCTATTTCATCAAGCAGTTCTTCCGCGAGATCGTAGACAGAGTGAGGTCCCCGAAGGGGTGTGGAGGAAAATGTGTTGGTCACAGAGTGCATGGATGATATTACCTCGCACTTAGCCAGCTGTCACTTGTCTAAGTGTAGCAAGTGTAGCAAAGACAATGAAAATGAACTCATTTTAGCGAGAGTACGTATTCGAGGCTTGGTGGGTATTCGGAACTGAAATGACAATCTGCCCGAGGCACAGACACTAAATAGCCTGATTACAGACCCCCTCCTCTCAGAAAAAATCGGAGAAGGGGCCGCTTCTCCCAAGGGGGGGAGGGTAGTGTGTACACAGGCTAACACTAAAATGACAATCTGCTTTAGGCACAGGTTTTTGCGAGCGCCAAGGTCTTGTTAGGCTCGATTGTAAGCTGCTGTTCTGGAAAACGAGCCCCCAACGGACGGGGAGAGGGCGGAAATCGAGCCTAAGGTCTTGTCAATACCCCGGTCACACTCTGGATCATACTGGCAAAATAACTTCTGTGGCAGGAAGACACGTCGTAAATTTCCAGATAGCCAGCGAAATAAGTCAAAGTTTTGTTCCATCATTCTTTTTTCTTCTTCATGCAAACAATTGTCTTAACGTACAGAGATATTTTAATTTCTCTATTTAACATTTTATCTTGCGATGTTTTCTGAAGTTCTTTTCCAGTTTATTTGAGCTTGCAAAGATAGTTTTTGTTATTTCTATTTTTTTGACAGCCGTGTATCTTGCCCTAATCAATTCTTACCTTTAAAATACTATACATACCGGTTAATCCGTGTGTTGTGAAAGATTGTTTTCTGATGATTGTTTGAAGAGCATTATAAATGGGGAAAAAAGAACTTTCTACACGGAGTCAGGATTCAACCTCGTCCCCAGGGCTTTCCCGCCCCTGTCATTTTCTAAGAAGAATGTCCTGAGGACGAGGCTAGGAGTGATTGTGGTCGAGGTGTCGTTCACGTGTATGAAAAGTATTTCATTCTTGCAATAAAAATAACTTTTGTGAACTTAAACAGTGTTTAAAACATGTCTCTGGGTTTTGTAAAAATTAGTGATACTTAAAAGTACCTTAGTGTTCAGTTCAACTTTATATAGCCGATTTGCTCCTCCTGTCGCAAGAAACTTGACGCCGAAGGGTCGAGAAGAGCACGATTGAACAGTCTGCTACCATGTTCACACATTTGCCGGAGAGGTTTATTGGACAAGATTTCTCTGTTTTTCTTGTTTGATAACGTTTTCATTAAGTCTTCAAAAATGCCTCCAGATTGCTGTTTTTTTTGTTTTTGTTTTTGTTTTTGTATTTATACCCTCTTGAACAATGTGCTTCATCTCACCTCTCCATTTTTAACCTACTTTACCATCCACCCTCTCTCCCCACTGTTCCATCTCTACTTTAATAAGCATTTGTATTTAAGGGGGTGGAATTTCTCCCGTGTATATTAATTTCTGAAAAAATAAGTCCTTCTACTTTTTCCTTAAATTCTTAAACTTAGTTCTTTTTTCTTTAAGAACCACCAAAGATGCTGCTAAGGCTGCAATAAGCGCACTCGCCCTTTTATATACTTCATCTAGTGAAATGCCCGCCCTTTCATATACCTGAAGCCTGAAAAAGATACTCCTTTCGGGCGGAACCTCCCCGTATAGGCCATCATAGGGAGTTCCCCCGACTCCCGTTCCAATTCCGTGCTCACCTATTGCCAGCCCATGTTGGACTCTAGGCCCGTTTGAGTCAACACGTAAACATAATCCTAAGTGTATACAAGTTGAACTTGACCATAGAGATCTGTTGCAAGAAGACGAGGAGTTCGAAAGGCAAAAGCTTGTTGCAGAAATCGCTGAAGAATTGAGACCACAACACCCTCAACCAGAAGCTTTCAACCTATGTGTATGTCAAAGGAAGAACAACCTAGTCAGTTCAACGTGGTAATACTAAAAAGATCTTGTGGCACTTTAAAATACCATTCAAATCCAGGGAAAGAAAAGGAGACCTAGTTGACAAACTTTCGTCTTTCATACAAGATTGCACGTGCTTTTCTCCAACAGCTCAGGAGTAAACATATGGATCCTTAATTTAGTGTGATTAACAGCCGGCAAAACTTTTGGGATTTAACAGGAGAAGGACCGTAAACAATAACTATGCCTTTTTCTGCATGCCATTCCTCATTTTTACTGAAATGTTGTTAATTGGCGATAAACACAATGCTCTGTTAATACCACCCTAACGTTTGTATAGCCTATGGTTAGCAAGGGATCTAGGAAATGAAAGTACTTTGCAGGTGTGGTCCTATGGTGTCGCACGGTATTTCTGAAGTTGTTTGCGAGCTATTTCCAAAATATTAATTTTTGATTCTGTAATTGAAAATATTGTGCTAGTGCTCGTGAATAAGAGTGGCCGTGTCCAAGTGACTACTTTGTAGCTAATTGTCGTGTATTACACCATGGGCTGTCATATTAAACCCTATCCTCACGGTGGCTCCCGGGGATACTGACTCAGTTAAAACGGTCGTAGAATGAATAAATACAACAGCACGGTATTTCCCACCCAGTAAAGAATCGGAATTAACAGTGATTAAATTGTATGATTATCAGTAACTATCACTTCAAAAAAAATATAATCAGATAAAAGAACTGATCGATACACAGCCACTCTCGGGGAATGCGTGACGGGCTACAGTAATTAAATTATTTTAATTCGCGTAAACATATCTTCTTCTACTACTTCTTCCTCGTGAAACAGACCTAAGGGGATTCTAAGTCATATATCGTTCGTGTTTTTCCGTGCAAATTTCTAAGAGATATTTTCCCTTAAAAATGTGAAATATAAGCAGTTATGTTTCCTGTCAATTCAATTTGTTGAAACGACGCATCTAAGGCTAATTTGCATACGGAGTACGAAGTCGCGTTCTGATCGTCGACCAGGAAAAAAACCAAGAAAAAGCGATTACCAAGTTTTCTCCTCATGTTTCCAAAAGTCCAACATTTAAAGGGTCTAATGACACTTGGTGATAACTAGAAACGTTAAAACTGTGGAAATTAGTCGATCAAAATTAATGCGGACCGTTACAATTCCAGCTTTGCTGTCAAAATGGCGAATTTGTAACATTAACGGAACTTTGTACAGCGCGCAGAGAAGAGTGCCCACAAATTTTATTGCATTAAGAAGTAGACTGGTCTTAGTACTTCTGATTTAGTCTGAGTCAGGTGCCACTTTCGCGAAATTACCGTTCAGCTCTAGTTATGCAAATTACTATTCCTGCTGAGCAAATTAACGGTCATTTTAAAAAAAATTATATCTCAGCCAAATTTCCACAGAATGCAACCATTAAACTTTGACACTGTTAATGAGAGTTAAAACTTTTGTGTGTAAAATAATCAGCTTATTCGGCTATGTAAGGTAGGTTTGACAGAGCCCTAAAGTTTCACCAAAATCGCACCACATCTGAAGGCAAACGGGCCAGTTTTAGGTGACCGAGAAAATCT